GTGGGAGGGGCCTGTCTGTGTGACGTCACACAGACCGGCATCTGAGATCGGCTCGATTTGAGAAAGGGGTAAAGATTTAACCAAATTTTAAAAAAGCACTGGGAGGATTTTTATCATTATAGGGTGGTTGTGTACATACTGCCAACACATTTCAGTTCAAACAGCTTGTAAAAGTGCATGTCGCATCCTATGACCCCTTTAAAATGATAATTTTCCCACTTTTTTGTGCAAAAAACTTTAAGATTATAAGTAAACCTCAAGGAACATATTAAAATAATATTTTAAAACATGCATGTCATGACCCCTTTAACTCAGAAAGATTGTGAAGGATTCATCAGTGCATGTTTCTTTTCTCTTTTTTTTTTCATTTTAATCATAAATGCCAGGACAGTTTTTTTTTAATTTTCTCTTGTATCTTTATCCTGTTAATATTGTTTATTAAAAGTTTATTAAAACTCAGCAACACAACTGTAGCTGTACAACTTTAAACAGCAACACGGCAACATTCATTTGACTTTTTGTTTACACTATTTTGCAAAATCAGACAATATTGTGTCTAATATACATCACAGTATTAACTTATTGTAAATAAATATCACATTTGCAACTGGTCAGTGTTCAAAAAACGCTGGGAAATCACTTCATGCAGCTCTACAAGAGTGATTACTGATAAACTGTCTGAAAAATACAGTCGCCCTCTGACTTTCAACACTGCTACATGCATAGTAATGCCTTTCTACTTCGAGGACCGTGATAGAAGTGTAATGCAGTGAAAAGTACGATATTTGTCTTTCCAGTGTAGTGAAGTTAGCCATACGTTTCCAGAAAAAATAATACTCAAGTACAGATACGCAAAAAGTGTACTCGAGCACAGTGCTCAAGTAAATGTACTTCATTACTGTCCTCCTCTGGTTATTACATTACAGCTGTTTGAAACCCTCGCATACTGGTTTGAAGCAGTGGCCTATGTAGTATGCACTGTGCAGTACGCAGCACACTAGTATGCAGTCAGCAGCTCTCTGTTTCCATGGAAACTCCTCCAGCAGCGAGGCCTCCAGCCGTGTATCATACATGAAGTGCGCCTGATCGCGGTGTGTAGTATGTAGTGTGTAGTATGTAGTATGTAGTGATCTTCAGCGAGCACACGTCCTCCGCTGCCGTGCGCGCTCCCGCCGCAGACCCACAGACCCACATCAGGTCTGGATCTGTCGAGGACACGGCCGCAGAACACACTCATCAGATTCGGAGCTTCCGCGGGATTCGGGCCCGACTCGGATTCCGCGAGCGCTGATCGAAACAGACACACGGATCCGATCCGGATCAGATGTTCATGAGTGAAAGCCCGGGATCAGATCGATTAATGACGGATCAACAGATCTGCGGTGAAATATGGATGTGATGTGAAATCATTTCTGCGCTGATTCTTCTTCTTCAGCATCGCCTGCCTCCATTTTGAATCTGATTTAATATCAGGATTTTATTCGTGATGATGGATTTCTTCCCCGTCTCCTGATTTCTTCCTCTCAGTCACAGGTTATGGTGGTTTGTATAAAGCGGATTGTCGATCACTGAAGCCGGATTCTGTCTCGTATTGATCCGATCTGATCAAAGAAAGGCTCGAAGTGATTCCAGCAGATTCGGTTCGGAGATGGAGGATTCGGATCAGTGAATATGTGCCCCTCATGAGAGAGGGGTGTTCATCTGCCCTGAACCCCGATGAAGATGATGAAGATGATGATGCTGGAGACACAGGTATCTCTTACACACACACACACGCTCTCTCAGACACACACACACACACACACACACACTCACTCACTCACTCACACACTTAACTCAGAAAGATTGTGAAGGATTCATCAGTGCATGTTTCTTTTCTCTTTTTTTTTTCATTTTAATCATAAATGCCAGGACAGTTTTTTTTTAATTTTCTCTTGTATCTTTATCCTGTTAATATTGTTTATTAAAAGTTTATTAAAACTCAGCAACACAACTGTAGCTGTACAACTTTAAACAGCAACACGGCAACATTCATTTGACTTTTTGTTTACACTATTTTGCAAAATCAGACAATATTGTGTCTAATATACATCACAGTATTAACTTATTGTAAATAAATATCACATTTGCAACTGGTCAGTGTTCAAAAAACGCTGGGAAATCACTTCATGCAGCTCTACAAGAGTGATTACTGATAAACTGTCTGAAAAATACAGTCGCCCTCTGACTTTCAACACTGCTACATGCATAGTAATGCCTTTCTACTTCGAGGACCGTGATAGAAGTGTAATGCAGTGAAAAGTACGATATTTGTCTTTCCAGTGTAGTGAAGTTAGCCATACGTTTCCAGAAAAAATAATACTCAAGTACAGATACGCAAAAAGTGTACTCGAGCACAGTGCTCAAGTAAATGTACTTCATTACTGTCCTCCTCTGGTTATTACATTACAGCTGTTTGAAACCCTCGCATACTGGTTTGAAGCAGTGGCCTATGTAGTATGCACTGTGCAGTACGCAGCACACTAGTATGCAGTCAGCAGCTCTCTGTTTCCATGGAAACTCCTCCAGCAGCGAGGCCTCCAGCCGTGTATCATACATGAAGTGCGCCTGATCGCGGTGTGTAGTATGTAGTGTGTAGTATGTAGTATGTAGTGATCTTCAGCGAGCACACGTCCTCCGCTGCCGTGCGCGCTCCCGCCGCAGACCCACAGACCCACATCAGGTCTGGATCTGTCGAGGACACGGCCGCAGAACACACTCATCAGATTCGGAGCTTCCGCGGGATTCGGGCCCGACTCGGATTCCGCGAGCGCTGATCGAAACAGACACACGGATCCGATCCGGATCAGATGTTCATGAGTGAAAGCCCGGGATCAGATCGATTAATGACGGATCAACAGATCTGCGGTGAAATATGGATGTGATGTGAAATCATTTCTGCGCTGATTCTTCTTCTTCAGCATCGCCTGCCTCCATTTTGAATCTGATTTAATATCAGGATTTTATTCGTGATGATGGATTTCTTCCCCGTCTCCTGATTTCTTCCTCTCAGTCACAGGTTATGGTGGTTTGTATAAAGCGGATTGTCGATCACTGAAGCCGGATTCTGTCTCGTATTGATCCGATCTGATCAAAGAAAGGCTCGAAGTGATTCCAGCAGATTCGGTTCGGAGATGGAGGATTCGGATCAGTGAATATGTGCCCCTCATGAGAGAGGGGTGTTCATCTGCCCTGAACCCCGATGAAGATGATGAAGATGATGATGCTGGAGACACAGGTATCTCTTACACACACACACACGCTCTCTCAGACACACACACACACACACACACACACTCACTCACTCACTCACACACACACTCTCACACACACACTCACTCTCTCACACACACACACACACACTCACACACACACACACACACACACACACACCGTGCAGGAATACTATGGTACATGTCCAAAAAACATGGTAGTACCACAGTACCACTTCTGTCAGTTCCTGACTGTGTCTCCATAAACGTTCATATGATTATTCGACTTCATTTGAGTCTTTTCATTTATTCGTCTCATGCACTTATGTATCAACTTGCAGATGAAGACAGAAACAGGAAAATCCTCGGAATGTTGCTCCTTCTTCTGTGATATTAAAGCGATAGTTCACCCAAAACTGAAAGCTCTCTCCTCGTTTACTCTCCCTCATGTTGTTCCAAACCCGTATGAGCTTCTTTCTTCTCACACAAGATATTGTGAAGAGTGTTGGTAACCAAACAGTTGATGGTAGCCATTGACTCGCATAGTATTTATTTACGTGCTATGGAAGTAGGGTTGTAACAGTATGAGATTTTCATGGTATGATAATCGTCTCAGAAAATTTCACGGTATATATTAAACAATAATTCTTATCAGTAACTATGACTCTTAAAAGAATAAGAACAAGTTATTTGAGTGAACAAATCCTTTATTACAAACAAACTTGAAACCATTTTAATGTAAGTATTGAAGTCTCCCTTCTGCAAAAATAAATACATTTCATTTCGTTTTACATTTACATTACATTTAGTCATTTAGCAGACGCTTTTATCCAAAGCTACTTAAAAACAATTAAAAAATAAAGCTATACACCTTATGTATATTTATATCACACTTTAACATTTTAATTAATGTTTTAAAATGTTATCAAATGAAAATGTAACAACTTTTTTTTTTTTTGGCAAAGTTCTGCACAACAGGAATAATAAGTTCAAACATGATATTCCTTAAAAATAATGTTTAAATAAATTCACTATTATAAAGAATATTATTATTGTTGTTATTATAACATTGAAGTACATTGTACAATGCGAATATATTTCTGTCATAATTTCAAATTAAATCAAACTTTTATTTTGACGGGTTGTAGCAGACCTTTGAGTTTCAGAGTGTATTATGGTTTTTCTGGTTTGGTTTTTAACTTTTTTTTTGGCGGGGATGGAGATTAGATATAATCCTCTCTCTGTCATTTTCTCCGCTGTACGTGCGTGCAAGCAGCCGAGCAGAAATATGCGCGGGTGAGATTTTGCTTTTCTTTCTTTTTAAAAAAAAAACGTAGATATGCAAAGTTTACAGTATGATAACCGTGCACGTTCAAACCGTGATAAACCGTCATACCGGTATATCATTACAACCCTATATGGAAGTCAATGGGTGCCGTCAAAGAAACTTGAGGGTGAGTGAATGATGACAGGCTGAACTGTTCCTTTAATATCAGACTGTGTTTGAATCTTATTCAGTTCGGATTGTTTTCATGGATTTGTTCAGACTCAAATCATGAATCCACATCATGGGCCTCATTCATAAAACCTTCATGAATATATGAGAGGAAACTCTCCTCTGGATTCATAAATAGGGAATCTACAGTGCATTAAAAAAGAAAACACAGCTTTAGTCATTTTTATCAATAAAATGTTTCACAGTTAATTCGTTTTGTTACATATTATTGTGTTAAATAGAGTTATCAGTTTTGTCAGTTTGCCTAAAAGGCTTTTTATGAATCATATTGTGTGTGTGTGTCTGTGTGACTGTGTGTGTGTGAGTGTGTGTGTGTGTGTG